TCCACTAGCTCCGCCCCCTTCTCCCCCTGATCCCCTCCCCCTCCCTCCTCCACACCGCTGTCGGACTCTTCCCCCCTCCCTCCCCCACCCGCGGACTGTAAATACTCACCTGTGACACCTGGCTCCACGCTCCTCCCAAAGATTTAAAATGACTTGGATTTTGTTTCTACTCCCCTGCAGACGTGTTAAAGCTGGGGGACCTGACTTTTATCTTCATATATTTTTACCTTTAATAAAGAGTCGTGTTTAACCAATCAGACCAGAACATGCTGTCGTCATAACACTCTTTGGGCTGGGTCATGGTGCTCCTTTATTTTTTCACTTTTCCTTCAAAACAGACAAAACTAGTGACAAACTGCTCCTGGATAATAAATACCAATTAAGAGATTGTTAGCCTTAAATTATGCACTAATTAGCACTTAGCTAATTCTTAACTAGTGTAGGCTAAACCAAAGTGTGACTGAAGTTAGGTGCCCCAGCTTTAAAGGAGACCTATTATGTACCATTTGAGTTTTTTGGTTCCTTCTTTCTGATGTTACATTTGTTCAATAGACATTGTTTTGCCACAAAAACGACACACAAAAGTGTCCCCCCGTCACTTCAGTCTAAATGTTCAGAATTCAAACACGTCGCGCTTTGACTGAGATGTCGCACACGTAAAACAAAAGTATCGGCTTGACATTTTTGGTCGCTAACTTCTATCACTACTGTGTCATCTATTTTGTGGTGATCCAAAGATACACACACAGAGAGACAAAAACACACACACAGACAAACACACATGGATAGAGAGACACACACACACGCTGTCATACGTTTTTTACCCTAAAATAACGTACGAAACACAAACCGAATAAAACCAAAATTCAAGTCGCTTTAAACCCGAGCAGAGGATTCATTTTGTGTCGATGATAGAAGGTTTTGGGGGAAATGGACAAATGGGAAATAAATTTTAAAAACGAGACGGAGAAAACAGAAAAAGGTTTGAATACACTTTTTTTGTCAAGAGAAAAGCTTCACTTCTGTTCAGTCTGTTTAAAAAGAATACACTGTATTCAACTCATGAATTTATTACTTATCAAAGATTCTGTCAGATTCATTGTTCGCACCAGAGCAGTCAATTTGACGGCTTTTTGTTTTGGATGAATACCTAATGTACGTTTTTAGTCATAATTTTGACTTTTTCTGTTTCTAAATTCAGTTTATTTCTATGTCATATAAATGATCTCAATCCTGGATTGGTCTTGGACGGGGTCTGAAAACTGTAGATTTACATTAATTTAAATGAGAGCCGTCAAAATGACTGCTTTGCCCGTTGGCGTAGTTTCAGAAATCTAAGTTCTTGTGTTAAAAAAAACATGGTTTCATAATTTGTGGATTTCCCCATTTTCTTTTTTTTTCAAAAATACATCGTTGCGCTCTCATCTGACCTGTGGGGCCCCACGGTTCCCAAGCTACGGGGAGCGGACCAGAACAAAGTGTGGAATAATGCGAGAAAGGAGTTTGTGGAGATTCAGAGCAGTTTAAAGACTGTTGCGATGATTATGTGGAAAAACAGATTTATAGCTATTTTGTCTTTGTGAAGTTTTCTTTGTTTATTTGAATAAACTGCTTTAGTACTGTTACTTCTGTGTTTTCTACACATGTGTTACCTGGATGTGTTTGTGTGCGTTACCTGGACGTGTGTTAGTGTGTTACCTTCACGTGTGTATTTTCTGGGGGGAAGCCATGGGGGAAACAAGTTTACATACCTTAGCAGAATGCGACTTTTCCACCGGCTGCAGATAGATGGAGGCTGAGCTATAATGCTAACTAACTCATTAGTCCAGGCTACAGATATCTATGATGCTAACCCACAAGCCCATAGACCCAGGTTACAGCAAGCCCCGGTGATCCAAGATGGCGCCCTATTCAAATGAATGGCTTGTGCTCAGTAGCGCATGGGACTACATGGGGACTGGGAGATTAGAACTCGGCAATATTTGGGCATCGTCTGGTCCGGGTTCTGTGCAGTGGACGAGCTCCCATGATGCGTAGCGCCAAATACGCACGTGTGGCTCTCCTGCACGTGCACAGAGGGGCTCTGCGCTTTGACCAATCAGAACTGCTCTGTAGAGCGGAGCCAGAGCGGGGAAAAAAGGAGCAGAGTTTGTGGCACTAAAGTGTGGATTTAAAGAATATCAAAGGATTTAAGAAGAATAAAAGTTCAGGATGACAAGGGACACTAAAATCCCCACAAAATCCGACCTTTATGAAAGCTGTAGGTTCTCTGTCAGCTGAGGTCGAGCTGTTTTAATTTACATTGAGTTCTATGGGAGTTTTTTCTGGGTAGCCCACGCAAATTTAGTCTGCAGTACCACAGGCGCCCCCTGTGCCCGTGGGTGGGACAGCTGTAAGCTAGTAATACCCTAACCAGTTATTATTATAGATCTATGGGAGAAAACTCTTAAAGTATTTTTTTTGGCCAGTGTACACGTTTTCAGTTGAACTAACAATACATGACATACAGAGAGAAAAACATTTTTGACTTGAGCAGACTTTACATTTTGTTCAGTGTTGATGTTTTGGGGAGACTGTTTTTAGTTCTCTCTGGTAAAAAGGTTCCAGCTCTCTGCCCTAGTTCAATAAAACCCAATAGGAAAGCGCTCATGGATGAAGTCTTGCTCTTATCGAATTGTAATTTTGTCTCTAAATCACAAGTTTATTTTTAAATCTACTCATTATCCACAGATTTAAACCCCAACGATCATTGAGCAAATTGTCAATGTTATTTTTACATCTGATGATTTGTTACTGCAATTGTTTTTCAAGTTCAGTATGATTTTCTGATCTGTGTCGGCGAATCAACATACAGCTATACACATTTACATTGAATTAACAACAGAGACAGTTGAAGAGAACATAGTAACACACTAATCATGAAAACTATGAAAACACATGCGTCCCGTGCCAACAGGCAAGGCAGGCAGCTGCCTGGGGCCCCCAAACCAGCAGGGGGCCCCCCGAGAACCGACTGATTTGACACAAGCGGTCGACTTGTGCAGGCTACAACAGCTACCTGTCGTGACTTTTCGTCTGATGCTAAACTTTCCACGTTCTTTATTGACAGTTGAAAACTTTTCTGGGGTACTTTGGACATTGAAAGAACCGGTGGTTTAGTGGTTAAGAGCTCACAATGCGATGGCTTGGGATCAAATCCCAACGTAGCAGGGTTTTGGATCAACCATATATTATATTAAAGGACAGATTGCTCAAGAACCGTAGAAGGTAAAAACAAGCCGTTTTTGCAGATTAAAGCTAAGAGCCTAATCATTTTTTAGACTTTATAAAAACTGAGGGCCAAATGAAAGAATAGATTTTGTAGGATTAATACACTTTGATAGGTAGTTTTTGTAATTACTTATAACATGATGAGTGTAGTGACCAAGCGTATAAAAAGACATTCTAAATTATTTCTCATTGCTTTGTGTCACGTTAAGGACTGAAGTACTCACAAATGTCTATGGTAGACTGTAGAGTCTGCCAGGCCCCAGGACTATCCATTTATTGTTAAAAATAAGAAATTATCAACATTTAATTTGTATTAATGTAAACAAGAGATATTGCATTTTACCTTATTTATAAATATATATTTATACCTACTGTAATATAAGCCTTTTTATGTGGTCGGTATCGGGGCCCCCAAGGACTCTGTTACCTGGGGCCCCGGGGTACCCTTGGAACGCCTCTGACTATACAATAATCAGGCTAATAATGAGGGGAGCATTACCTTGACCGTCCGAGCTGTCAGTGTTTTCCTCTGGCTCCTGTCTCTGTGCAACACTGCGGCTGTGTGTTTGTGCAGATTGTGTGTTTGTGCAGATTGTTTAGATTGTGTTGCGCACAGAGGCTGCAGGTGCCAGACCCGTGTTTGCATTTAAATGGCTTTTTATGTTTATTTGAGATTTACGTTTCAGAAGCCTCCCTGACCTGGGATCCTCCGCTCTGAGGTCAGGGTCTAGGTCTGGGTATGAGCCTGAGGTCTGGGTTCTGAGGTCTGGGTCTTAAGTCTGAGGTCTGGGTCTGGGTCTGGGTCTGGATATAATAAGTGAATGAGGATTTTTTTCTTCACATCAGAGTTTTGGACCTTTTTGCAGAAGAATTGCAGACAAAGGAGTCAGTGATTTTTTTATTTATTCTGTGTTTGTCTTTCTTTGTCTCCCTATTTTTTTATTTATAAAGCGCTATTTTACTAATTAAGGTCACCCAAAGCTTGTTAGAAATTTCCCAGCTCTGCCTTTAGTCTGTGTCTAATTTAAATTGAGAAAATTAAATTATTGTCTCTCTCACTTTCTCTGTCTCTCTTTTTCTCTGCTTCTCTTTCCCTCTCCCTCTGTCTCTCCGTCTCTCACTATCTATCTCTCTCTGTCTCCCTCTGTTTCTATCTCTGTCTCCCTCTTCTTAAAGCTCTCTCCCTCTCCTCTCTCTCTCTCTCTCCTCCTCTCCCTCTCCCCTCTGTCTCCCTCTCTCTCTCATCTTAAAGCCATCTGTCTCTTAGTTTCTCTCCGTCTCTCTCTCTCTTTCTCTCATCTTAAAGCTCTCCCTCTCCCTCTGTCTCCCTCCCTCTCCCTCTGTCTCCCTCCCTCTCCCTCTGTCTCTCTCTCTGTCTGTCTCCCTCCCTCTCCCTGTGTCTCTCTCTCTGTCTCCCTCTCTCTCTCTCTGTCTCCCTCCCTCTCCCTCTCTGTCTCCCTCCCTCTCCCTCTCTCTCTCTCTGTCTCCCTCCCTCTCACTCTCTCTCTGTCTCCCCCCCTCTCCCTCTCTCTCTCTCTGTCTCCCTCCCTCTCTCTCTGTCTCCCTCCCTCTCCCTCTGTCTCTCTCTTTCTCTCTCCCTCTCCCTCTGTCTCTCTCCCTCTCTCTCTGTCTCCCTCTCTCTCATCGACTGATTAGCGATGCTGAATTGTCTTTTCATCTGCAGTCTTCTCTGAGGAGGAGAGCTGAGTCTGAGGCTGGACCTGGGACTGATGCAGATGTGGATTTGTGTTTTGGGAGCGTGTTGTGAGGAGCTCTGTGGGGAATCTGCAGTGTTCTCCCTCAGTCTGAGAGTAGAGCAGACGCCATCTTCAGCAGGAGGCGGGAAACTGCTGAAATAAATGTTTTGTGCTGATGTGAAAATGCAACAGTCCAGACCAGTGCCTTTTTACTCAAGTCCTAATAAACAGACTTCAATTCACCTCAATTCAATATATTCTTGTAACACCCTAAATCACAACAGTAGTTACAAAGCTGTGGATTCGCCTGAGGCTGAAGACCCAGGACTGAGGCTGTAGAACCAGGACTGAGGCTGTAGACCCAGGACTGAGGCTGTAGATCCAGGACTGAGGCTGTAGATCCAGGACTGAGGCTGTAGACCCAGGACTGGGGCTGTAGATCCAGGACTGAGGCTGTAGATCCAGGACTGGGGCTGTAGACCCAGGACTGAGGCTGAAGACCCAGGACTGAGGCTGTAGATCCAGGACTGAGGCTGTAGACCCAGGACTGAGGCTGTAGATCCAGGACTGAGGCTGTAGACCCAGGACTGAGGCTGTAGACCCAGGACTGAGGCTTTAGATCCAGGACTGAGGCTGTAGACCCAGGACTGAGGCTGTAGACCCAGGACTGAGGCTGTAGATCCAGGACTGAGGCTGTAGATCCAGGACTGAGGCTTTAGACCCAGGACTGAGGCTTTAGACCCAGGACTGAGGCTTTAGATCCAGGACTGAGGCTGTAGACCAGGGGTGTCAAACTCATTTTGGTCCGGGGGTCACGTACAACCTAATCTGATCTCAAGTGGGCCGGACCAGGAGATGCTCTACAAATATATCCAAAAACGGTACAAAGTCCAACTTTTTGTGCACATAAACACATTTATATAAAACTTCCTTTAAAACACTGTCCTTTAAATACTCAGTTTTCTGTTACAAACTTAAATGTGACAGTGAGTTTTTCATTGTGCAAATAATGTAATGTTTTTACAATATTACATTGAAAATGGCATTTCACAATATTTATATTAATAAATGTATGTTAGCTTTGTTTTAAAGTGGTTCTCACCCCCGCTCCTCGGAGCTTACGTCACTCACATTTCCTGTTCAAATCTTCCTCTAAATGGGCGTAGCCTGGAGGACTAAAGGGGGCGTGAACGAGACTGGGCCGTTTGCATTGCTCTGGGCGGGGGGCTGCTGACGTCAGGTCCAACTTGCAGACGTCAGGTCTAACTTCTGTGCCAGTGTTGGCGCCAGATTCAAAATTCAAATGTAGTAATACAGGTCGCCAGCAGATGGCGCCTCACAGACGGTTTTAGGCAGAAAGTCTAACTTTCAACTAATTTGCACCAAAGTGACAAGATTATGACCAGGATATGTAGACAACACTATTGGACACTCATTTATACCGTTTATCAGCAAAAAAAAGTGGATTTGAGGGTGAGTTGTCCTTTAAGGCTCATTACAGAGAAAACTTGCTCACAAAGGTAAAGTAGGTAGATAGAAAAACGCACTTTAACACAGCACCTCAGTTTAACCATCTTCAGTGTGGTAAGGTCCATGGTTATGTTATTATCACATTAACCATCTTCAGTGTGGTAAGGTCCATGGTTATGTTATTATCACATTAACCATCTTCAGTGTGGTAAGGTCCATGGTTATGTTATTGTCACATTAACCATCTTCAGTGTGGTAAGGTCCATGGTTATGTTATTGTCACAGAGAAAGCATCAAACTGATCATGATTCAGTTGAAATGAACAACAACAACTTCCATAACGTGATCTATTCTTTACAACTGCAGCAGTGTCTCTGTAAAATACAGTCAAATGTCCAAAAATCATCACCTCCATTTGCAGCTTTGTCACTACACCTGCTTCACCATCGGTACCAGTCCACACTGTCCAACACACCAGCAACCAGTGTTGCCAACTTCTCAGTAAGGAAAGTAGCTATTGGCTGTCCCAAAAGTCGCTAGAAGTAGCTAAATGACGTCATCGCCTAATTTGCATAACTGGCAATTTGCAAATAACTGTAACGGACGCTGTAGGAGAGAGGAATAACGTCGTGGGAGAGACAAAAGTGAGTAAAAAACACCCTAAATATGTTTAGAACTACAAATGTACAAAAATAATTTCAACATTAACAACATTTAATGATTTTAATGCTTTGTCTAGATCCACATTACACACATCAGTTTTGTCCTGTATTGTTAAATGTTATAACAGCAAATGTAATCAAAAGATTGTTATGTAGGGTGAAATTGCTAGCTCTACAACCAACCCTCCTCCTTTATCCGGGCTTGGGACCGGCAAAGTGACCCAAAAGACACACTCTGGCAGAGTTACTTAGGTTTATTTTTATACGTTTTTTTTTTTTTCATAGTTTGGCATAACAAATGATTTAATGTGACCCACTACTGAGAGAAAACAGAGTCACGGACAGAGCTGCCGCGGATGGAGTGGGGGGTAGTGGGGGGTGGCGGTGGTAGGAGTGGCCGGGGAGCTTTGGATGTGTGGTGGTGGTGGAGCTGAAGTTCAGTCTGCAGCAGCCTGAAAACTTCCTGTGCTTTTGAGTCTCCTCTCTCTCTCTCTGCTCCGCCCATAGACTGTAGGTGGGACTGCTGCGCAAGGCTACTGTGAGACTGGCCGCCTGTAAGTGCTTTGGGACGGGGGAGGGGCTCACGTTGAGGACAGCAGAACAATACGTGCTTCACGAGTCTCCAAAACACCAGATAAGTCGCCAAAACACCAGATAAGTCGCCAATAACACCAGAAAAAGTCGCTAGATTTGTCGCTAGTCGCTTTTTTGAAAAAAAGTCGCTATAGGGGTCTGAAAAGTCGCTAAATCTAGCGACAAAGTCGCTAAGTTGGCAACACTGCCAGCAACAACAGCAGAACCAGCAGCAGCGCTCAAAACTCCTCTGATAGTTTCAGTAACGCCACTAATGAATATGCGACATCAGTAACATCAGTCTCTGATCAATGGCAACATGTTGGTAAAAGCGAGTGGTTTCTCTGGACACAGTCTGCAGCCTGTATGAGAGTTTTAACAACGCTCTCTCTGTGCGGCTGCGATGCTAATGCTATGTGAACCAGGAATGAAGCTGTAGACCCAGGACTGAAGCTTTAGACCCAGGACTGAAGCTGTAGACCCAGGACTGAAGCTGTAGACCCAGGACTGAAGCTGTAGACCCAGGACTGAAGCTGTAGACCCAGGACTGAAGCTGTAGACCCAGGACTGAAGCTGTAGACCCAGGACTGAAGCTTTAGACCCAGGACTGAGGCGGCTCAATTCCAGATCCTATGAAAAAAATCATTTCATTTTGAAATAACATTTTCAGAGACCAGAGAGTGTGAGACTGAGACCAAATTATTCATCTGTAACTTTGCAAATTATTCTACGTGTCCTTTAAGCACGAACAGTCAGTGTCACTGCTCCTCTCTCTCCTTCCCTCTGACTCTCTCTCTCTATCCCCCTCTCTTTCTCCCTCTCTCCCTCACTCTCCCTCCCCCCCCCCTCCCCGTGTTCATAACCACGGGTCTTTATCTGTGTCTTCAGTTCAGTTTGTTCGCCGGTGGAAGTCTCTGCTCTTCACTTCAACTCTTTTGTGTTTGAAGAATCTCTCTTCTCGTCCTGGTCTGAACCTCCTCACTGTATCAGGACAGGAGCACACACAGGGGAGGAGGGGGTTGGTGGGGGGAGTGGAGCCTGTGTGGAGCCTGTATGGAGCCTGGCAGAAGGCCCAGGATCAGTGTCTGTGTTTGGACCAGAGCCAGACTCATCTCTGCAGCTCTGAGGACAGCTCCTGCACCTTCCACTAACACTGACTCCGTTCTGACTCCAACTCTTCACAAGTGTCTGCGGTATCTGCTGCAACACAGAGGAGTAGGAAGAGGAGGAGGAGGAGGAGGAGGAGGTATCATCATGTTTCACAGTCCATCCTATAAACACATGTGATAATACACCATACAACCATAGACTGTAAATATTAACGGATGTGCACGCCCTAAAATTGGGCTTTCATAGAGTGATTCAAAATGGCCTTAGGGGCTGGAAAATGTGAAAAAATGCATCACATTTGTCAGCTGCACGAGCTCCATTCATTTAAATTATATATACATAAAGATTCACAGCAAGTAGCTAGACTAGTCCAAAAAAATCCACCCCCCTCAGCATTGACACACATGTGGAACGGAGCTTTGGGCCAAGAGCCAACTTTTGGTCCATCCTGTAAAGACGTTTTCGAGAGGTAAGAAGATGCTATATGTTAGCATTGGCTAATTCTTCTTCTGGGTCCACCCCCATCGGCCCGGGGTGGTATTGCAAACATGTCATCGCACATCATTTTGGCCACTTTTGAGCTGGGACCCGCCCCCACTGCATACAACACTGAAAACTTAGAAATGATAGCCCTTTCTTACGATTTCTCCTCTCTGCTCCTCTCTGCTCCTCTCTGCTCCCCTCTGCTCCCCTCTGCTCCCCTCTGCTCCCCTCTGCTCCTCTCTGCTCCTCTCTGCTCCCCTCTGCTCCCCTCTGCTCCTCTCTGCTCCCCTCTGCTCCCCTCTGCTCCTCTCTGCTCCTCTCTGCTCCCCTCTGCTCCCCTCTGCTCCCCTCTGCTCCTCTCTGCTCCCCTCTGTTCCTCTCTCCTCCCCTCTGCTCCCCTCTGCTCCTCTCTCCTCCCCTCTGCTCCCCTCTGCTCCTCTCTGCTCCTCTCTGCTCCCCTCTGCTCCCCTCTGCTCCTCTCTGCTCCTCTCTGCTCCTCTCTGCTCCTCTCTGCTCCCCTCTGCTCCCCTCTGCTCCCCTCTGCTCCCCTCTGCTCCTCTCTCCTCCCCTCTGCTCCCCTCTGCTCCTCTCTGCTCCTCTCTGCTCCCCTCTGCTCCCCTCTGCTCCTCTCTGCTCCTCTCTGCTCCCCTCTGCTCCTCTCTGCTCCTCTCTGCTCCTCTCTCCTCCCCTCTGCTCCCCTCTGCTCCTCTCTGCTCCTCTCTGCTCCCCTCTGCTCCCCTCTGCTCCTCTCTGCTCCTCTCTGCTCCTCTCTGCTCCTCTCTGCTCTTCTCTGCTCCTCTCTACACTTACAGGTTAAAGTGAACAAGACAGAAGAGAAGACTGTAGATCCTCGTTCGATTGGTGACCATGACAACGTCCTCGTTCATGGACTAATAGTTGAGCCGGTTTTGTCTTTTACTGTAGGTACCAGGGGTGGAAATGGACAATGGACAACATCTGTGCAAAGATCCTCCAGCAGCTGTACTTTCTCTGTAGGATTAGATGAGGAGTGAGCCAAAATGTGACGTTGACCTTCTGTCGAGCGTGTGTTGAATCTGTTTTGAGATACGGAATAGTGAGCTGGTTTGGTGACCCCGCTGTGAAATATTAATCTCAGATCCAGAGAATGCAAAAACTATAGCCAGGAAGATCATGGGAGTGTGGCTGTCCACTCTGATCACACCTCAGACTATTTTTGAGCAGTCAGTGATTAGACAGGCCAAGAACATCATCAGATGGAGGCTCTTCTCATGTTCTCTATACTCACAATAGGAACTGGTGCATTCTGGGAGGAGGTACAGGATCCCACTGTGCAAAAGCAACAGGATTAATTAAGAACTCTTTTGTACCTCAGTCCAGACGGCCGGTGATTGTGCAACACCTGTTAATGTGTGTATTGTTTGTATTTTATGTTATGTAACACACACGCACACACACGTACACACACGTACGCACACACAGACACACACACACGCACACGCACACCTATAGACTTTCCTGTTTGCTTGATTCTGTTTGATGCTCTGTGGGGAGTCGAGGCGCCCCCTACAGGCCTGCAGCACCTCTGCACCATGTTTAATAGATCACAGAGATGAGCCCATGAATAAAGGATGAGTGAGGGTCCAGGGCTTCAGCCAATCACAGCGCTTCAGGCCGCCCATCTGCAGGAGAGAGATACAAGAACAAGTGCAACTGTGCGGCTCTTTAGAAAGTGCTGAGCACCTCTGAAACTGCTGTTTTATGTTTTACACATTCTTATTTTCAATCTGTGAATGTTTGTGTTGATGTTTTACACTGGTCCAGGCCAGAGCAGAGAGGATCCTGTGGAAATCCACCCCAAACTCATAATAAAGCATTCAGAATTTCACTCAGAACCAGAGCAGAGAAAATGGTCTGAACCAAACAGACTCGTAAATGTTGTTGAATATCGAGTGTCTTGGACGATTACTGTCCTTAGACCCTCCTGAAGGAACAACTCTAGAAACCCAGTGGGAAAAAAGTGAGAAACCCAAGGGAGGCCCACATTGAGAGAGATATCTGTTCCTACAGACAGACAGGCTGTAGACCCAGGACTGAGGCTGTAGATTCAGGACTGAGGCTGTGGACCCAGGACTGAGGCTGTAGATCCAGGACTGAGGCTGTAGACCCAGGACTGAGGCTGTAGATCCAGGACTGGGGCTGTGGACCCAGGACTGAGGCTGTAGATCCAGGACTGGGGCTGTGGACCCAGGACTGAGGCTGTAGATCCAGGACTGAGGCTGTAGACCCAGGACTGAGGCTGTAGATCCAGGACTGAGGCTGTAGATCCAGGACTGAGGCTGTAGACCCAGGACTGAGGCTGTAGATCCAGGACTGGGGCTGTGGACCCAGGACTGAGGCTGTGGACCCAGGACTGAGGCTGTAGATCCAGGACTGAGGCTGTAGATCCAGGACTGAGGCTGTGGACCCAGGACTGAGGCTGTAGACCCAGGACTGAGGCTGTAGATCCAGGACTGAGGCTGTAGATCCAGGACTGGGGCTGTGGACCCAGGACTGAGGCTGTAGATCCAGGACTGAGGCTGTAGACCCAGGACTGAGGCTGTAGATTCAGGACTGAGGCTGTGGACCCAGGACTGAGGCTGTGGACCCAGGACTGGGCTGTGGACCCAGGACTGAGGCTGTAGATCCAGGACTGAGGCTGTAGATCCAGGACTGAGGCTGTAGATCCAGGACTGAGGCTGTAGATCCAGGACTGAGGCTGTAGACCCAGGACTGAGGCTGTAGATCCAGGACTGGGGCTGTGGACCCAGGACTGAGGCTGTAGACCCAGGACTGAGGCTGTGGACCCAGGACTGATATTGTTGAACTTCAACAATGTTTCAAAGCCCCCCCGCCACTTCCGCTCTGTGTTTTTTCCTTCTGCGGGAGAGGTCTGAACACTCTTATTGTCTGAATTCATAGAATGTGCGTCCAGTGTGCGTGGAAGCTGCGTTCTAGTGTTGGTGGTCTTGTTTGTCCTGTTTCCACTGCGGGAATTTCTGGGAAATTTTCCAGGGCCAGCCCTGCTGGTGCGTGTCTCCACTGCAGGACCCTCCCCCACAGGGCCATTAACGGGAACTTTTACAGGAACCAACGGAGTACCTCCTCCATGCTAGGTACTCTGTTCGGCCCTGAACAGCTCCTGGTGGGGCTTGGGGTTAACCCGGCACTGAGCGGCTAAAGCTAGAGCAGGCTCTGACGCCAACAGAAAGCACCAAAACAACTGGCATTTTTTAAATCCTGCAGCATTAGCCTAGTAGCATTAGCCTAGTAGCATTAGCCTAGTAGCATTAGCCTAGTAGCATTAGCCTAGCAAACGCCACTGGAAACAACAACAGCAAGACGTACAATAAATGACGGATGATGAGGTGAAGGCATCTGCCATCTATAGCACAAAAAAAATGCAGACGGGGTTTGCGGCAGAGCAGCGAAATGAAAACATATATCAGTGCACAACAAAGCACTGCCATTCATCACACTCAGAAACAATGCCGGGAAAAGTAAAAATAATAATAATGATGAAGCAGGACTATAAAAAACTCGTAATAAAAATAAATAATGATTTATTATGCAGCAATCGAAACTCTTGACGTCGCTGATGGGTCCTACTCATCGTGCAGACACGGACACTGAGAGGACGGCCCCTGTGGCGGTCCCATCCCCCCTTTTACCAGGAACTCCTGCGGTGGAAACGGGACTATTGAGCTCTATGGGGAAAATATCTGGGTAGTGTATTTAGAGTCGTTGACAGAGAATGCGAGAATTCCCCGAGCACATGGGTCCTTCAGCTCTATCCTGTAATACTCTATCCAGATATTACACTAGATCCATGGGCTAAGCTCCTCCAGAACAGTCTGGGCCCAGTCACAGTCAGGGACCGAGCCTGTTCCCAGAGTGGGTTTGGGGGACAACATTAACCCCTCTCTCTCTCTCCTCTCCCTCCACTCTCCCCTCTCTCTCCTCTTGCTCTCCTCTCCTCTCCCTCCTCCCTCCCTCCTTTCTCCCCTCTCTCTCCTCTCTGCTCTCCCTCCTCTCCCTCCTCTCCCCTCTTCCTCCTCCCTCTCTCCCTCACTCGTCTCTCTTTCTCCTCTCTCTCTCTCCTCTCTCTCTCTCTCGCCTTCCTCCTTTATCTCCTCTCTCTCCTCCCCCTCCCCCCTCTCTCTCCTCTCTCTCCTCTGTCTCCTCTCTCTCCTCTCTCTCCTCTCTCTCCTCTGTCTCCTCTGTCTCCTCTCTCTCCTCTCTCTCCTCTCTCTCCCTCTCTCTCCCCTCTTTCCTGCGGGACGCTTCAATCACACCTGTCTCTGGAGCTCGGATTAGAGCCGGCAGCTCTCGGACCACCGGCACAAAGACCACAATAAACGTCCACAAAAGGCCGCAGGGATTGGGAGCGGGATAAGTGATGGAGCGGAGATGGCTGCGGCTGCTTTGTGTCGGGACCAATGGAAGTTTTCTGTAAAGCTGAAGAATCAAAGGCAGAGCCAAAAATGTTTCAAAGGAAGAAAACCAGGTGCAACTTTGACTATAAGCAGAACTCTGAGAC